CTTCAGATTGAAATCCTAAAAGTTTTCTGAACAATGTGTTGCTTTGTTCTGCGACAACCATTTGACCGCCACATCAAAACTTTTTGCACGTTCTATAAAGACGTCGCTATAAATAATGATTCTTTCATTTCTGCCACTACCACTGTGGAGGGATGATAGGCCGGTATGTCAATGTGCATATAACTCTGTATACATATACGAAGTATCCCTGAGCAAGACACCTAACCCATAATTGCTCCCCGGGCAAAAATGTGAAAAAGCCATGGGTTTAAAGTGTAATGTAAGTCGCTTTGGATAAAAGCGTCTGCTAAATGACCTGTAATGTAATGTAATGTATACTGTAGGCTTATGTGGAAGCTCATTAGTATAAACTCTCTTGTATCCCCAACAACACACACAATCAAAGGTCAAGTTGTGAGATAGAGAGGTATTTTTAGTTTGTTTAAAACTTTGACTTTCTCGTGTTATATTTTATCTTGTGAAAATGAAAGCTATGTTCTCTTTCTCTTCCCGTCAGAAGACACTTTGTGAGGGAAATGCTGCACTACAGAAGCTTTGGAGTTGTAGTAGAAGTGGGGAGACGCCACTTTTGCAGGGAACCACCAAACCAAAGCTGAAGAAAAAGAGCTCTTTGAGATGAAATTCACACATACTGAACTGAATTGCTAAATGAAAAAAAAGAAAAGACCACATGCATTTTTAGCTCACACTAGTTACACAAGTAGCAGGTAAAGTAGCCTGGAGCCTCTGGCCTACAGCAGAGATGTTGAGCAGGCTGCAGTGGTCTCACTCCTTTCAAAGCTCTAATAATCTGTGCAACCCCCCTCTTCCCAGTATCCTGGTAAAGACCCAAAAACATTGTTCTTCGGCAGGAGCAGACAAAACCAGTGTGAAGAGAAACTGAAGGTTCACTCTGTTCCCTCGTCCTCGGTGCCCCGTGTCAATCGTGTTCCCATTAAATGTACGTTGGAATTGTTGGCTTTTTACTTTGGGGCTTTTATGATAAATTATACCATTTATTTGTCCTGCTACCATTTTTAGCACATCGCCCTCCTAATGTCTAGACACGTTGCCGTTTGGAGTTATATTACTCGACAGCAGTGTAAAATCATTAGAAGACAGTTAATAAATAATGCTTGCGAGTAGGGGAAATAATTAACACACATACAAGCCATCCATTAAGGATACTCAGGTCTTCTTCCCTGGTACTGGAATATATAGCTGGAAGACACAGACACCAAATGCTGGTAATCAACCTTGGTTTGTCATTTCCTGAACCACAGGCCTCGCGAGATTATCTGGGCATTGACGCACAAACATCTTGACTATCAGTTGATCCGGAACACAATGCACCTCTCTGTGTGAGAGAGAGCAGACACTCTGTCGTCAAAAGACATTTACATTTAAGTAACGGATTAAACTTGGTGCTCTGGTGCTAAACCTTAGATTGCCCTGCTTAATATGTTTGTAAAATATCATACAAAAAGTTGACCTGTGCAGTGTTTACTACAACAATAATGATACGGAGGACCAACAGAACTTTGGGACGTTTAGACTTCCAGCAAAACGTATAATTTGTCATGTCTAAGTTTAAAATGAAGGAAAGTCCAAAGTAAACAGTAAAGCATTTGGGGTATTTATTCTAGGTTTTGCCTTGTGTGCGATTTCCCAATAAATCCAGGTAAGCATTTTTTCTCTGTCTCGAGGGCTTGTCACATGTTCAGTGAAGATCAGCATGAAGCCTTCAAACATCTCTGACTGTCCCTGGAGTTTCTCATCCAGCCACATCAGCAGAAGACCGCACTGCACGTAGGTCCCGCTGAGCAAGGATCCATCGGTTCATGAAGAACATAGATGGAGTTTGTCATTATTCTTCCATTGAATGTTAATAAATTAAATATAAAAGGGCCTTCATAGCGTTTACTTCTCCAAGGAAGTAACAGAACCCCCTAAATTGCATACAATTTTAACTTAAGCAGATTAGAGTGGAATTAAATTCCCCTTAATTCAACTTTAATTTACTTTGTTCTATCAAAAGGAAACATTGTAATACGATCAACAAAAAATAAGTACCATTACTGGTCGAGCCACAAAATCAGCACATTCCTCCATTATGGCACCAATTGCTTCCATTTAACTAGGATTTCGTGCATCAAAACAAAGGTTCAGGGTAATGAAGATGATGTTTTGTGTGAGTATTTATTAAGAGCCTATTTTTATCCCTCCCTCCATCAATCTCACCTCTATCCTGTGCACTTACCCTCTCTTTCTCCCCCCCGCACCCGCCCCCTCCATTATCACTCCTTGTTGGCCTGATGGAGAGTGAACAAGGCCATCTCCTCCCTCCATCAGTCCTATTCTCTCTCTCTCGCCGCGGTTTAATAAACACACAGACTCTCTTCCTCCCAAGTCTGCTCAACCCTCCACCACACCTCTTCTGTATCATCCTTGCCTTTGTCTTAGTGTGCAGCAGAAACATTAATATTCTTTCATCCGTCACTTTCTCTGCCCTGTCTGTTCTTTTTTCTCATCTGTTCTTTGCTTCTTGTTTAACTGCACCTCTTTTATGTTTAACCTAATAGGTTTTTTTGGAGCTTGCATATGAAGAGCAAACGAGGTCCAAAAATCAATTTCCCTAAGCCAGTGGAGATTTTTATTTTTACTAATGGCCATCCCTCTATTTTTTATGTTATCAGCTGTTATCTGCTTTGCAGTTTGTAACTTATTTACACATGTTGTAAACGTTGACCTTTAGGAACAGCAGTCTCTTAAGTCAAAGTCCTGTGTTGCTTTTTCTAACCCCAAAAAACAATTTTCTATCTTCTCCAACCTCCTCAAACCCCCTAGTCCTCCTCCGCCCTCCACCCTTCTTCCAGGAGACTTTGTCAACTACTTTACCAAAAGAATAGCTGACATACGCTCCTCTTTTTCAAACCCACCTCCTACTACTCGTGTCCCACCGACTTCACCTCTATTGCCCTCACTTTCCTCCTTCACCCCCCTGTCTCCCAACCAAATTCTTACCCTAGTAACCTCTGCCTGTCCGACCACCTGCCCTCTTGACCCCATTCCATCACATCTTCTACAATCTATCGCTCCAGGAACTTACGCCCCTACCGGGTAACCTTTCGAGGATCTGTGTCGGAACCTTGTCCTCTTACTACTGGAGTTCCTCAGGGTTCCGTCCTGGGTCCCCTCCTCTTCTCGCTCTACACCAACTCTCTCGGCGCTGTCATTCGCTCGCATGGCTTCTCCTACCACAGCTATGCCGATGACACCCAACTAATTCTCTCCTTCCGTCACTAGGACACCCAGGTGGCGGCTCGGATCTCTGCCTGTCTGACTGACATCTCTCAGTGGATGTCCGCCCACCATCTGAAAATCAACCCCGACGAGACTGAACTACTTCTCTTTCCGGAAAAAGATTCTCTGACCCAGGACTTGACTGTCAACTTTGGCAAATCCGTGTTAACGCCCACTTTGACTGCTAGGAACCTCGGCGTGATGCTCGACTGCCAACTCTCCCTTACTCCCAACATCACTGCGACAACACAATCCTGTAGATACACGCTCTGCAACATCAGGAGAATACGTCCTCTTCTCACTCAGAAAGCAGCGCAGGTACTGATTCAGGCTCTTGTCATCTCCCGTCTGGACTACTGCAACTCTCTACTTGCAGGTCTCCCTGCCACCGCCATTCGACCTCTGCAGCTCATCCAGAATGCAGCAGCTCGACTGGTCTTTAACCTTCCTAAATTCTCCCATACTACTCCACTCCTCTGCTCTCTTCACTGGCTACCGGTGGCTGCCCACATCCAGTTCAAAACATTGGTGCTCACGTACCATGCTGTGAATGGATCAGGTCCAGCTTACATCCATGACATGGTCAAACCCTACATCCCGACCTGCACTTTCTGCTGGACTAGATCACTACTCTTTGTTGTCCTTGCTCCGAAATGTTGGAAAGAGCTTTCTGAAGACACTAGGACCGCAGAGAGCCTTCACATCTTCCGCCGCAAACTAAAGACACACCTCTTCAGACTCTACCTCAACTAAAAGACTTTAAGAGCACTTAAATTGTACTTGTAACGCCACTTATTTATAGGAAATTGTAAATTGTTTTTTTTAAGGAAATTCCTGGACTTTCACACCCTTATCCTGGGTCAAGGTTTTTAATCTACATAACGTACGTGTAATCATTTATGTAGCAAACCCCTGCAACACAAATTTATAAGGCTGAACAGCCCCAAATTATGCAAGTGGATTTGAAATGAATAAAAAGCACATCACAAACACATTCTCATTCAACAAATGAAACCCTGGCTTAAGGGTTAACCATACACTGTATATGAGAAGTGGAGGTAGCTATTGTGACGTCGCCCATTGGTTCATTGACTGGCGTTTTTAAGCCCTGAGTTTGGTTGTTTTTGAATGCTGAGTAGTGACGTAGAGATGCCGCATATGGCTCTGGTACCTGTCAGTGACTTGTCAATCCCAGCAAACCGGTCTATTTGCTCTAAATGGACCATCGTTTACAAAATCATGTAAACTATGATTACTAAATCATAACATCATGTATTGATGACAACTTGAAACTAGACATTGAGAACATAATGTTTACTGAGTTACTGTGTTTTGTGAGTAACCGTTTAGTGAAATCAGGTTAGAAGTTCTCATGTTTTCAAAGATTTCTATGCAACCAAAAGAGTCCCCTGCTGGCATAATGCCGATGTGCCAATGTGGCATAAACCCCGAAGTTAAATTTAGGATTTTTGAATCAGAAGCATAACCTGAAACATGCAGAATGTGTTAACGTTCTATAGGCACGATATTTAAGATGTTTTAAGCCGGTTGAACTGGCATAATAAGCCAAGTTGCCCCCCCTCTCTCACTCTCACTCTCTCACTCTAGGACCCTGTAGCACCTGCTGATCCTTGGCAGCATTGACGTCAGCGCCCCTTAAACGGCGGAGATCTCCGGCGCGGGGCAGCAGCGGTGCGCACAGGCGCAGCGTCCGTCCACCGGGCAACGCAGGCGGCTGCGGCGGCACCAGCAGCAGCACCATCGGCTCAGGCTTCCCCCTCCACCCGCCCGACTTTCTCAAACATCCACGCAATCGTCGGCATCGTCCCCGGGACTTCAACCGGTAACCCCCCCCGTTCCTTCTCCCTCTCCCCTAAACCCTCCTTCGCCGCGCTCCAGCCGTGTGCCATGTCGACCGCCGTGCCCGAGACGGACGAGTCGGTCCGCGGGTCCCCGCTGACGCCTCTGAAGCTGGTCGGGCTGGTGTGCGTCTTCCTGGCGCTCTGCCTGGACGTGGGAGCCGTGATGAGCCCGGCGTGGGTGACCGCCGACGACCAGTACTACCTGTCCCTGTGGGAGTCCTGCTGGAAGCCGGCGAGCACCGACAACTGGCAGTGCAGCAGCACGCTGGGTTCAGGTAAACAAAGTCACTAGAGCTCTGCTTATGATAAAAGGAAACATCAGGCGGGACAGGACGGAGGCTCGTCACCACGCGTTACACGAGCCCAGCGAACAAAGAGTTGGATGATGATGATGATGATGATGATGGAGGGATGCTTCTGCACCTCTTAAGGGCATTCCTGCACCCAGCCTAAAGACGACTCCTCGAGAACCCCCCCACACACACACTCCAATCATAACAAAGCCCCATTCTGACAGGCTGCAAATTACACTGGGTTTCACTTTCATTTTGTTGGAGGTGAACACGTATTTTTGTCTTGAAAACTGTGAAGGATAATTGGATCATACATTTTTTAAAGAACTACCTGTAACACAGGCTCCTATCGCTCATGTCATTGTGTTACATTCCCTCTCAGCGCTCCTCTGATCCTCAAAAGGCTGCAGACGTGACATTTAAACAAACACACAGACGTGCGGTAAATACTAACCCATGGTGTTAATGGGCACTGCCACTCTCTCAGGTTTGTGAGGAGAAACAGCGGTGAGCTTCACCACCACCACTTTATGCCTTAAGAGCTGAAATGATTGCAACTTAAACACTTTTGATAATCCATTAATCATTCAAGTAAATTTTGATTAAATGTGCCGGGCTTCCAGCTTAAATATTTTGAATATCTTTGACTGTTGCGCCGTGGGTATTTCAACACCTCAACCTGGACTGGGAAACATTTGGCACATTATATTCAATCTTTATGACAAAGTCAGTTGCAGCTCTAAAATGCACTTTGTAGGTGCATTTATGTCTTAAGTAAAAAATAATCTCCTTGTTGTTATGATAAAAGATGATGATATGTCTCCAATTTGTGAGACAAAAACATGTTGATACACCTAAACACGCTGCTGGGAAGGACAAGTAAACATAATTTTGCTTTGGAACTATAACCTGCAGAATGACAATGATCACCATCTTGCTGATGTTGACCTGGGGGCCTTAAAAAGGAATCATTCAAACGGGTCTTTAAAGCGTCTGACACTGTGACGGACACTATCTATCATCACTCCATTGCTAGCTATACGTCCATCCCCCCTCTCCATCCGTCTCCATCTGTCTATTAACCCATCCACTTATACATCTATGTCTATCCTTCCATCCACCCGTTCCTCCATCCATTCTGTCTTTAATCATGACTGTGTAAAAAAGACTGTGCTGTGTGTTTTTACTGTATGCAATGTACATGTGTATTTGTGTTGTCAGGAGAGGAGTCTGCATGTTAGTATGTAAATAAGTGTGTGTGTGTGTGTGTTCGGTTACCACGTTGAGCTGACCTATTTCTGGACAGTCTCCTCTGAAGCCCGGCTGAATATTTCATGTCACACTCTGATTTCTCTGTTGTTGCATCTCCACGCCACCTCTAATCGGACCTGCTCACCCCACTCTCCCCTCTCCACACACACACACACACACACACACACGATTAGAGGTTTTAGAGAGATAGGTTTGTGTCAGCCGTGTTAATTCGTTTGGGCGTCACGGCGGTGTGGTGATAAAGTCAGCAAGAAGAAGAAGAAACTTATTTTCTGAAGTCAAAAGATTGGATTTTAGATTTGTTATATCCATTAGTTGGTCCCATAGGGATGAATGTTCAACATTAATCATGTCAAAAAGGAAAGCCTATTAGCTGGCTGCTACTGGTTTCTACCTGGATACCGTGGCATAAAATGACACGTGTGCATACATTAACAGTTTATATATCCTGCTCATTATTTCCATTTTTAACACCAGGAAAAGAAAATCAACACCTATTAGCTTTATGCAAAAGTCTCGCCCCCGGCAACAGGAAAAAGGATGCAATGCATCAGAGACATCTCTGGTTTGCAATATGCACAGCATAACTTCTAATTAATTGGACAGAGATCAAAAAAGGAAACGCACAAAGGAAGGATCTGTGTTTGCAGAAAAGAACTGATTTGTTATGATCAAAATAATTGGAATAGTTTACTTGTTGAATGTTGGCTGCTGTACAATTATACAGAGGTTCCGAAAGGACTCAACAGTTTAACAGTCTCATGTGTTACAGAAAACACAACCGAATGTAATATTGCTCTTCAACAATAAAAAGTCATTGTTGACCCATTATGCTTCTATATTCTCAAACGGACAAGTGTCCTGTAACATTGGCCTCCTCAAAGCAGCAAACCGGGACTTCCAACGTCTGCTGCACATGTTGACATGAATGATCTTGATGATGGATAACCCTAATTTTAGTTTAATTCTTAAAAGACTAGTTTTTACTTAAGATAACTGCTCACTTTTTGTCCTGTTGGCTCCAGCTAAATTATTTTAAAATTACGAGGCTTATCTGTGAAGAGGTTTGTGCAAATAATTCTATAATAAACCCACTGGTTGTATTGCATAAAAGTTGCATACACTGCTTGAGTACAAACACACATTCAATAAAAAATACAGGTTTGGTTTGCTTTCATTCTGCAACCTCAGCTTCTTTTTTTTTGTTTCACTGATGGAGTAATGCCACCAGAATAGCCCACACCACCCGCTACAAACCCAACTAGTTTACGTGGCCCATTCTGTCCAACCAGTGGATGGATTTCTTAAAAAAGTCACTTAAAATTTGCTGGCCAAAAGATTAAGGCTTCGACCTGCAGCGTGTGAGGGATCAGAAGCTAAGCCGCTGCTCACTGTGGCTCCTCCGTTAAATGTCCTGTTGTGAATGATGAGTTGATTCAAAGGACCAGAATGACAAAAAGAAAAGGGCCGTCACTTTAACAAGTGGACGAGGAAACGTTAGGAGGTTTCTGTATTGATGGCAGTAGCCAAGGGACACCGATCATGGACCACCAAGATATCAAGTCATGGCTTCAGATGAGAAATCCTACCGGGACATTTGACTCTCACACACACACACACACACTGTGGAAAGGTGTTTAAAGCCTTGGAAGTTACACTTGACAGCCAACCTACTTTCCTCCCACCCTGATTTGTTCCCCCCTCACGACCTCCTCCTGTGTAGTTCAAACGCCACCTCCTCATCTTCTACCATATTCATCTTCCTCCTTTGCTCACCTGTTCCTCCTCCACCAAAGCCTCTTCTATCCCATCGATCTCCCTCTTTGTTTTCCTACAACTCGGATTTCACGCTCAATCTATTGCACAATAAATATTTATTTCACAGCTTCAAGTGAAACAGGAACACAATAATAGCAAAGGATGTGCTATTGCCGAATGTGTTTGTCATTGACTCGACCTTCACAGATTTCAGGCTTTTGGATTTGCTCGTAAATTATCTCTTAATGCAATGGGAACCATCTTTTATCCTTTTCTATGCACGTTGTTTCAAATTACCCCAAAATGTCAGCTAATTGGTCAATTTTGCTTGTGCTTTATTTACACATTTAGGAATCAATCCCAGAAGAATTACTCAAGTTCGTAGACCGGTGCGGTTGGAAATCAATTCGAACAAAGAGGTGTCATTTTTGACCCAACTTCACCAGTCTTTATTGTCACTGATTTGAGATTAGTCACCAGTAAGGACCTAAAAAACCTCAATGAATGCTGTCCCGCTCTCGCCCGCCTCCTCCCTCTGCTCCTCTCATCTTTCTCCATCTGTCTATTGATCTGTCCGTTGCTTTCACTCCCCTGAGCCTTTCTCATCCGTACTCTCAAAATGAATTGTCTTTTCCCCGAAACTCAACCCTCCTCCCATTTCTTCCTCCCAACTCATTTTTGTTTGTTCCTTGTTCCCTCCCTCCCTCCCCGAAGGCTTCATTGTTACATTTACTAATGGTATCATTTTCCCTTTTGTAATCTAACCATCCCTCCTTCTCCTTAGCCCTCTCCATCTCAATTTCCATTTTCTCCAGGGTTAAGTCTCCTCTTTTTACTCTCCCTCCCTCTCCTCCTTTCCCCTTCTCCTCCTACCCTCTCTCCTCTCGGTGAGCCGAGCCCCCCCCGGAGACGCCCGTTCTATTTGTAGCGGCTGAGCGGGGAATGGGAAACGATGTGGCATTCAGTTCTGTGGCGGACTGGCAGATAGGGGAATAGCCAAGAACATACAGCTCCCAACACACACACCGCAGGCATGATGGGCAAAGGGAGGTGCACGTGCCTGAAAACACATAATCCTTTTTGGTGGATGCAAATCAAGCTTTCTTCAAAGGCTTTACAGTATCACAGCTGTAGCATGTGGCAGCGCACAAAACGCCTGTAAAAGTCTTGAAATAAACTAATTCTATAATAATAAATGACAAAATGTATCTTAAATATTGGAATTACAGTATATTCCTTTGGTGTTAACTTGCAGTTATAATTAATTTTTCTGCATATACTGTTTTTTTTACCTGTCATAAGCAGGGTTTGAAACCAGCGGTAGTTTTAGGTTTATTGGTCGTATTTATGTTTATAAACTCTTGGCTAGAATGGAAAATGGTATTCATAATCCTGTTTTCTTGAGTGTGCCATCACCTAAAAACTAAGAATAGAAGAATAAGAAAACGTCCTTCACATCTACATAGGCCAGAGTCCACCGTGTTGGACCTTTACAGTACAGCACCAAATGGACAAACCGAACAAAGGCTCTAAAGGGCCTATAACGTTTTTTTTCTTTAAGTAAAGGCCACCATAAGTTCTCTCCTTTACCGGGGGACGGCTGTGGCGGATCGTCCTGGTTAGCGGTTGGATCCCTGTCTCTATGACCCGTGTCCCTGGAGGGTCTGAACCTCTGAAGTTTTTCTCGCTGAGCACTTCACAGCACTTGGTTAGGAGTTAGGAGTTGGTTTGGCAACCCCACCGCTCGATCCAACACCCTAGTGTTTGATACAAAAGCAGAAAAATGACCTTTAAACATTAAACCCTCTGATCCCATTGCCCTTTGAGTGTTTTCTGCTCCTACACATTTTCTCTCTGTGGCCTTGATTTTCTCTGCAGTATGTAAGTGCTGCACCTGAATGGAAAAGACGTAGAGAGAACACAAAGATCTCTTTGGTGCAGAATTACAGATT